TGCTTTTCCCACTTTGTATAGTTGACAATATTATCCTGTATTGCATCGATTTTGGTACTTTCCTTTGCTTTTTATTTGGCTGATTTAGGAAGATGGGAAATGAGGTGCCAGATTTTGTTTTCATTACTAAGGATTTATATTTGAAAAGCTGCTTGATATCATGAGACAGACACATAAGTATAGCACTTTGTTTAATACCTTTGCGATTTCATGAGCATCATGTTTGCTTGTTATCTTTTTAATTTGTTTGTTCAAAATCATGATTTTAATTTTGATTAGTAGACTGTGTTGTCACTATATCTTCTGCTCACTAACTTACAATATCAAATTTAGGGCTACTTTATTTCGTGTTGTCTCTTATTTCCTTCTCACTCTGATGTTCCATACCACGAGGAGGAGAAAACTTATATCAAGTTTCTTCTATCAAATACTGAAGCCGGTTTAATTATTGGAAAAGGTGGCTCAACAATCACCGAGTTTCAGTCCCGTTCTGGGGCAAGAGTTCAGTTGTCACGCAACTTTGAGTTTTTCCCTGGTACGTCAGATAGGGTTATAATGGTATCTGGGCTTGTGGATAATATACTCAAGGCAGTTGAACTTATTCTTGGTAAATTGATAGATGAGGTAATAAGCTATCTTGAATCCCATTCTCCGTTCATTTATCGACATAGTGATTGAAATACTGTCTCTTTCTTGAGTCAGTTTTATGCTGAAGATGGTGATGACGTGCGGTCAAAAGTTAGACTAGTTGTGCCCAACAGCTCTTGTGGTGGAATTATTGGGAAGGGAGGAGCCACTATAAAGTATGAGTTCTTACTAGATTCGTATCTCATAAGCATTTGCATTTTGCGTATTGCTCTTAGAAACACACCTGAGTTTCATGTTCTTATCTTAATTGAAATACTTTTTGCTGTAATTTTCACTTGTGATGCTTATCATCATGATGCTTATCAAAATAAATTATTATTATTATTATTATTATTATCATCATCATCATCGTGATGTACCTAAATGACATAATGTATTGAAATACTTTTTGCTGTAATTTTCACTCACTTTTATTTTATTTGGAATAATGATGATATGAATTTGTCTTAATGATAGAAGCGAGGATTCATATAGCCGACACCAACTTGTTTGAGGCGTAGTAGTAGTTGTTCTTCTCAGAGTTTATGGCAAAAATTGCATGTTGCCATGTGCTGGAGTGATTCTCCTGAAATGAAAGTGTTCATTTGTCTTTGGTTTCTGATTGGCACAATGATCAATTGCTTGAGTCCATGCATCCATTGAATAATGAATAACAGCTTATTACCCCTTGATATAATATCACACATGCAAATAGAAGCTTTGCTTCAATGCATGTTCAAGCGACTAAGTTCCTTCTTCCAATATGAATCGTTAAACTTCTTTTTTCTATATTTGTTTTCTAGATTAAGTCTCCATAGCTAAATTCTCTGGGTTAATATTACGATATCCTGTCCTAGACCATGATTGCCCTCAATGTGACATTTGGGAGTAGTATGGGAATAGTTTCTGGAAGTTGAGCTTTTGCTATTTTACCCTTTTAGGTTCTCTTTCTATCCGTTTCATCAATTTCCTATACAATTCAACAAAGTCCTATGAACACAGATTAACTGATCAACCAAAAAGGGGGAAAGAGTGTGGGGGGATGCTATATGGATGCAAACCGCAGCTTTAACCTTACTTAGGCATTAATGGATATGGTTATTTTTGTCACTTGTGATTGAAGATAAATTGGGGATAAAGGCGGGGACAGGAAGTTGTACAAACTAGCGAAGGTGAGGGAGCGGAAGGCCCGGGATCTGGACCAAGTGAGATGCATAAAAGATTAGGAGGGAAGAGTTTTATTGGAGGGGGCACAGATTAGGCAGAGATGACAGTCTTACTTTCATAGGCTCTTGAATGAAGATGGAGGTAGGGGCATTGTGCTGGGGGAGTTGGAGCACTCGGAGCGGCAGCGAGATTTTGGGTACTGTAGACGTATACGAGTGGGGGAGGTTGTAGGGGCTATGCGCAGGATGAGTAGGGGTAGAGCGACGGGGCCGGACGAGATCCCAGTGGAATTCTGGAAGAGCGTGGGTAAGGAGGACTTGGAATGGCTTGCTGGGTTGTTTAACGTCATTTTTAGGACAAAGAAGATGCCCGAAGAATGGAGACAGAGTACGATGATCTCGCTGTACAAGAATAAGAGGGATGTCCAAAACTGCAACAACTATAGGGGTATCAAGTTGTTAAGCCATACGATGAAAGTGTGGGAGAGGGTGATTGAAGGGAGGTTGAGGAGGTGTGTGTCCATTTTCGAGAACCAGTTTGGTTTCATGCCGGGACGGTCGACCACTGAGGCCATTCATATTGTGAGGAGATTGGTGGAGCAGTTTAGGGCGGTGAAGAAGGATTTGCACATGGTGTTCATTGACCTGGAGAAGGCCTATGACAGAGTCCCCAGAGAGGTTTTATGGAATGTTTGAAGGCTAGAGGAGTGCTTGTAGCGTATATTAGAGTGATTCAGGACATGTATGATGGATCTAAGACACGAGTTAGGACAGCAGGTGTGGAGACTCTGATTACTTTCCGGTTGAGATGGGGTTGCATCAGGGATCAACACTTAGCCCGTTTTTGTTTTCCCTGGCGTTGGATTCTTTGACACGTCACATTCAGGGGGAGGTGCCTTGGTGCTTGCTATTTGCGGATGACATAGTCCTGATTGATGAGGCGTGAGGTGGCGTTAACGAGAGGCTGGAGGTCTGGAGACATACCCTGGAGTCTAATGATTTCAGGTTGAGCAGGAGCAAGACAGAATACTTGGAGTGCAAGTTCAGTGGTGTTACCCAGGAGGCGGACGGGGATGTGAAACTCGATACACAAGTCATTGTCAGGAGAGAGAGTTTCAAGTATCTGGGATCTATAATTCAGGAGGATGGGGAGATAGATGAGGATGTCACACACCGTATCGGAGCAGGGTGGATGAAGTGGAGGCTCGCTTCCGGTGTCTTGTGTGATAAGAATGTGCCGTTGAGACTTAAGGGTAAGCTCTACAAGGTAGTTGTTAGACCGACTATGTTGTATGGGGCAGAGTGTTGGCCAGTCAAAACCTCTCATGTCCAGTAGATGAGGGTAGCGGAAATGAAGATGTTGAGATGGATGTGTGGGCATACTAGGTTGGATAGAATTAGGAATGAAGTTGTTCGAGACAAGGTGAGAGTGGCCCCTGTGAAGGCAAGGTTGAGGTGGTTCAGACATGTTAAGAGGAGAAGCGCAGATGCCCCTGTCAGGAGATGTGAGGGGTTGGCCTTTGGAGGTGTGAGGAAGGGTAGAGGTAGGCCAAAGAAGTCTTGGGGAGAGGTGATCAGGCGGGACATGTCGCTACTTGAGCTAACCGAGGACATGACTCTAGATAGAAGGGTGTGGAGGTTGAAGATTAGGGTAGAAGGTTAGTAGGTAGTCGTGCATCTCCCTTTATCTTCTCTAGCTCGATAGTATTAGCGCTAGTTCGGTGCCCTTTTTTTCCTTAGTTTTCTATATTCGCATGTCTCGTTTCGTTGTTACTTGCCATTGGTAATCCCGTAGTTTGCTAGCTGTACTTCATTCATATTCTCGTCTGCTGCCTTGGAATTAGTTTTCTGAATATGTTATCTTGCTGCTACTTGTTATCAGTACCCCTTTTATATTACCTGTTGCTATCCCCGATTTAGTTTTTTAATTATTGTTTTGCTATTACTTGCTACCAGGGCTTCTCTCACCTTCTGTAGCCGAGGATCTATCGGAAACAGTCTCTCTGCCCTTCCAGGGTAGGGGTAAGGCTGCGTATTTCCTACCCTCCCCAGACCCCACTTGTGGGATCACACTGGGTTGTTATTGTTTGTTTGTGATTGAAGATAAATGTGATCAGTAAATTCAGTCACCTTCTCTTACCTATCCGGAAAAAAATATATTCAGTCACCTTCTCTTGTATTAAGCTAAAAGGGGGATTGTAGTCCATGTAGACAGACTGTTTAGGGTGCTGTAGGAAAAGATTTCTTGTTGCATAGTTATTAAGGATTAAAGTATACGTTCTATCATTTTCTTAAGTGATTATTTTTTGTTACAAACAAAAATATGTTTTAGACTTGGGACTATTTTGCTGACCCCAACTTGCTTGGGATTGTGGCATAGTTGTTGTTGTATTCAGGACTTTCACTTTGTGTGTGTGTACATATATGTCTTTCAGCAAAAACTGTAGTTTTGCTGCTGTATTCCAATTTGTGATTCTATTAAGAATGCAATTGATTTTAGCCATTGGAAAAGTCTTTCTTCTACATAGATGGGTTAGGCTTGCATCCAAACAGATGATGTGCATTTTATTTGATCGGTGTTAGTTTCCTGGTTAATACAAATTTTTGTGTGTATTTTCTGGTAAACCATCACAGATACACCCTGCTGATATTTTGATGACGTTATATAGCCTCTATGTTACTTATTAAGAAGAATATAGCCTATATGATTGCTTTCTATTTCTAAGATAACTGTGAAAATTTTCTTTGATAGCAGATAAGATTATCAAAGAACACGTGATACTTAATATTTGGAAATAGAATAATGTAGAAACAACACCTTTTCAGAAGACATAACAAAAACCATTTCTATAGGAAGGTGGGGATTTTTATGGTCTTCCAAAGGTCGAGAGATTTCTGTCAGCATGAGTTTTAGCTGAAGAGTAAAACTATGATATGGTGCCTTTTTCATTCTGGCACAGGTGAGAAGATTGTGCCGTTCTGCTTTACTAGTGGAAGAAAAGTCCATGCCTCTGAGTTAAAAAGAACAAAAAAGAAAAGATTTTTGTTGTTATCTGGGGTGAAAGTGGTAAAGTAGGAGAGGAAGTAAAAAGAGGAGTGAGGAGTTTGTTTTTCTTTAAAACTTTTAGAAAGTAAAACGTGGAGTAGTAATTGAGAGATATTAAGAATGGAGCCGATCCATCAACTCCTTTATTGGCCTAAAAGAAAGATTTGAGCATATTTGTCTTTTTTCTACTTAATACCTGCTAGTTCTGGTGGCAGTTTTAGAGTTATAACTAATTCTCATTGCTCATCGTGTGGTAGGTATGAGGAGCCCAAAGGCAAAGAAGAGTCCACCTGCGATTCCATATAGGGTTAATGGCGAGGAAAATCCAAATCTCGTGTTCTCATTGTATATATGCTTG